TATTCTTAAGCCCATAATCCAAACATTTATTTGTTTATCAAATGTGCTTAAAGTATATTTTCAAATATATACATATATATGTACATATATAGAATGTTCGGATTAATATAACAAATGTTAAAGCTTCGTTAGCTTTAGTCCAAAATGAAAAAGCTTTTCTTGTTTTATTGAAAATTCATATATATATATATATATATATATATATATATATATATATATATACACACACACACACACATTATATGATTAAAATTCAGGGTATGTCTGTAACAAATTCATATTTTTTACACGAAATTTATTAATTTTGTAATATTATAAAAAGATTTAATAACTAATTACTAGGCAATTATACTAGGTATTATAATAATTAATTATTAAAGTGCATTAAAATATACTCCCTCTATCGAATACAAAAAAAATGAGTGTGTAGTTAATTGCAAGTAATAATTTCAGTCTCATGAACTGTAAACTAACCAATATAATATAATGACAATTTTATCATAACATTATTATATTTTTACCCAAATAAATTATTACGTTGCAGCCTTCTTCTTCTTCTTCTTCTTCTTCTTGAAAAGTAAAATAACTCATTAAATTACCAGCAGGAGTTCTTTAATTTTCTTGTCAACTCACACCTAAAATATGTATACGTATGTTATAAAGAAATTTAATGAACCTTAGAAACTTCAAAGAAGGGAAAATAACAAAATAAATGGTGCCCTCTGCTCACAAAAAAAAAGGAGTAATTAGGTGAGGAAAGGACCACTTTATCAGTGTGGAAAACTGAATTATGAGGAGGACCAAGAGGGGTCATAATAGTTGACCATTCCAATTGCACAAATACAATGGTTATGGTCACCCAATTTTATTACGGTTTTGAAAGCTTGTGATATTTCCTCTAAGGGGGTCATGGGCATTGAATATTTGCATATATATATATATATATATATAATCTTTATATACATATACATATAGAGAGAGAGATAGAGAGAGAGAAGGGTATGGAAACAGAATTAGGACAAAGCTTGGCATGAGTGTGTGGGTATGCATCCCTCCTATCAAAAAGAGACAGTGAGAGGAAGAATATTGTCACAAAGGATTAGATTGTGTCTCTCTCCAATTGTCCCCTTCTAGATCTAATCCAACATATTTTAATGCTTTGTTCACTTTTATTTTATATTTTTTGTATGTTTTTTTTCGATGCTCTTAAAGATTTTTATCATTACATATGCATGATGCATTCATATTTATACTGAGATAAATTATTATTATGATTTCATTACTTTAACTCATCTTATAATTTAGTCTTAAATGAATTTTTGTTATAATTATCTTTAAATTTTTTATATATTCTAAATTATTAATAATGTTTGGTTTTTTAAAAAAAAAAAAATTAAAAATAGACTTATATTTATTTGAAAAACACAAACAAAACTAAAGCTAGCTTCATCTACTTGTCTCGTGCTCATCTTAATCAAAACCATATTGTTTTAGAGTAAAAAAAAAAATTTAGAAGTTAAATTGAACAAGGGAAATTTTTTTTCCATACTTAGCTCATCAATGAGTAACACATACTTATAACGAGAAAAGTGACAAACCAAGGTTGGAGCTACGACTCATATCTAGTACGTAACTTTTAAGTAGGCCTTTGGACCATCAAGGCCAAAAAAGAAAATATTTTTCTTACTACGACACACAGTTGGTTGTAGCATCCTCGTCCTCCGCTTCTGTTGTGCCGCCTTCGTGATTTTTGCTTCCCTGCATGGCACTACCACCATTACTCATGAAATCTATAGACTTTGTTCATCTATCAAAGACACTTATATAGTCATCCATAGATGATTATGCAAATTCTCATATGTTTTCATCCAACTAGTAGTTTAGCCAAAAAAAATTAAAAATAAAATAGTTTATTTTTTAAAAATAAATTTATATATTCTTTAATTAAATAATATACATTCATTATTGATAACACAAAATTTTATTTTTCGATTGAAACTAAAGACGAATATAAAAAAAAATATACAAAAAGTATGTGAGAAATAAAATATCAAGATCTTACAGTGTGATACTCAAACGCTCACATAATCACAATTAACTAAAATCTGCAATCTCAATGATGTCGTTCTGTAAGAATTAAACAAGTCAAGATTTATAGTTTTTGAAACATGAAAGTGTCTTTAAGTAAGAACGGTGTACCGGCAAAGGGTAAATATTATTAAAGGACAAGAACCCTCATATATTCCAATACCCAAATTTCTTAAGACTCAATAGTGCATTTACATAATTGATCTTGGCAACTTTGGGGGATGTCTCACATGGGTATTCTCTCGTAAATTAGTTGACTCGTCCTTCCTCCTTTTCAATAAAAAAAAAAAGAAAGAAAATCCCCTTTTAAAATAAAGTTATATGATTATATTCCCAAGATTGAGTGGGATTAAAATAGAGTTAATAATAGAATGGAATTGGGTTTGTTGTTGAGGGCATGATTCTTGAGACATGATCACTTTTGCAATTCGACTCTGCAAGGGAAGCAACCTGCCTCCCCTTCGTTTTCTATTTGTTTTTGTTTGAAAAATGCACATCTTAGTTGGATCTCATCATCTCCTTTTCCTTAAAATATTTGCTCACCATCTTTTCAAGTTTTCTTTTTATAAACTTCTTCGCAATTATTGATGTATAATTTTATCTATTTTCCAGGACATAGTGATGCTGTTTATTGTTATATATACACCCATATACATATATATATATATATATATATAAGCTTATTATAAAGAAAATGTGCTCTTGGTGTGGGTCAAAGGTGTGCGTTTGCCAGCTGATGTTCAAGCAGTGTCCCTCTAAGTCCAGCCCATTACTGGCGCCCTACTTAATAACTACTGCCTAAATCTCATCTAAATGATCAAAACAAGTGGTTATTAAATTTAGACAATTTGATGATTTAAAATTTTATGTTTTAATTTACATAAATAAAATTGCAATTGAGATTTACCATTTAAATGTGAAAATTTCAAGAATATATAGTTGAATTTCTTGTTTTGAAACCAATTAAATTTACTTGAACTCGCGCATGCATAATCATATGTGACACAATAATAAAATCTAATGTTTCTATATTCCATGTTGTTTGCCATCAAAGTAACTAGTACATAAGATAGATTTGAATTTGGAATTTATTAGTTAAAAGAAAAATTTAACATTTTACTTATTTCATATAATGGTCGCATAACCATTGGGTCCATCAAAGCGTAAAACACCTTAGAACTTAATTCAGAAAGTGACTGTCCATATTAATGAGTTTGACTTATAAAAAATTTGGAGATACACTTAATGAGTCTAAAGGATAATAATGATAAAACTATAATTTGGTTTCCGCCTCAACATAATTATATAAAATTTAACTGTTTATGACTTGATAGGGAGGGATGAAGGAGTTTTGGAGTTGTTTGTAGAGATCATAATAGTAATGTTATGTTTGCGGGAATAAGGAGTATATCTTTCCTTTCGACAATTGATCTTGTCGAACCTCGAACTATAGTCTATGGATGCATGTGACAACAAGGATGAGAATCACAAAGATGCAAGTTGAAGGAGATTCGCAATGCCTCATCAATTTTTTGAGACCTCGACAATCATTTCACTCGAATGTTAGTTTGCTTGTTGATGATTTATTTTTTTTACGTAATTTTTTATTTATGTTTTTATTTTTTGAATTTTTAAAAATTGTAATTTAGCAATCCATACTTTTCAATATGGAACTCTTTGTAGTTATATGAATAAATTGTACTCTTCAGGAATCTCCAACTTTGTTGTTTCCTCTCTTATTGCAACGTGTTTCTCCTCGGATCTAATTTTAGTTATTATATTATTTTCTCCACATACAAAATTTGTACATTTTATTCTCGAATTACAAACGTATTTATTATTGTTAGATTAAGTTGAAATTTATGATAATTTAAACTCAATTTCATACCGTAATAAAAATATTCAATACTGAAATACTATATTTTAATATAATTTTGTATATGTTTACATCATATTTTTTTATTTAAAAAATTAAAATGAGATGGTGTGGATTTAGTTACATGGGTGAAATATAAATGGAGAGGAAGTTTATTAATTGGAGGTGAATAAGAGAAAGTTGAAGAAGTAGAATGTAGATAGGAGGGATCACGTGGTTGGGTGGTGAGAGAAAGGGACGTCATCACAGCTTGCCACCGCTTTGTCAGTCTTCACGTGGATTTCCCATGCATCATTCTCCCCTTCTCCTTCCCCTTCGCATCTTATAACTGATATACTCACCCACTGCACCACCTAATACACATGCAATTCTACCCTTAGCCAACACGTGTTACAATAAAACCTTTGTCTCGTATGCCTTTCATAAAACTAGTCTCCATTCTCCTAACGCACCGGAGCGGCTATTTTTTCCCTGGTTAACTATGTGTCATCAAGCACGGAATTCTTCTTGTCCCAGCGCTACGACCATCCGCAAAACAAGGTCATCTTCCTCAGCTCTAGATTTTCCGTGGATTGGTTTTTCGAATGTTAGGTCTAGTCTGTCAGTCCACTAAAAAATATGATGGGATTTATATATATGCTATTTTGTTGGGTTCCCCACGCTACTTTTGCCAATTTGCTACTCTGTCAACTTTCTTTTATTTGTAAAATATATAATATATATATAGGACAAGAGTTATGCCATTTCCATAATCATGCATGTCCTCTAGACAGGTGGCTAATGGCAATGGAACTGTAATTATGAGTAAAGATCGACAGATAGAGAGAGAGGACAGATGGTCGTGTGAAGATTAATAATTTGATTTTTGAACAGTTGGCTATCTATTGAGCCTGGATTAATTATTCCATAACATCATAACGTGGATTACAAGAGTAGTCTAATAAAGGTGCAATAAAGATATTAGTTAAAAGCGTACATATATGCACCATGGTGTATTTATACAATCGACCCAAACAGTAGTGACATGTTTAGGAAAATGGTTTTGAGCTAATCAATCAAGCATCTCCATAGTGTTGAGAAGGTTGGCAGAGTTTTCGCAGCTGTAGTGGAGCATAGGTAGCAGCATTGGAGATTGGAACTGGAAAGCCAATCCCAGGGGGAGACCTATTATTAGCCGCAGCTCTCTCAAGCGACTGCACTTGTGTCTTCAAGAACTTGACATAGTGAATTGCTTCATCTAACATGGAAGCTGTGTCCATTTTAGTTCCTCCTGGCACCAGTCTTTGAAGTATCCTAATCCTCTCGCTTATCCTCTCCCGCCTGTGCCTCGCTGCAACACTTTGAGGGTCCTTTGATATCTTCACATTCCTCCTCTTTGGTGGCTTCACTGACTCTGGGTCTATATGAATCGGTTGCATGGCTGCAATCCGGAATATCATCTCCCTCATAGCCGCCATTGAATTCCGCTTATTCTCCTCACCGGATAAATCCCCGGCAGTCTCTCTCCACCTACCGGTGCTCAAGAAAGCAGGCGCAGATGGGTCTTGAACTGGGCTACCGCCTGCAACTGGGATCCCGCTGTGTGGTATGTTTAGGAAGGAGTTGGTGGGTGAAGCAGGATGATCAGGATTATCAGCAAAATGTAGCATGTTATTGATACTGTTATTAGTTGGAGTTGCACCTGGGAGGTCGGTGGTGGGTAACTCATGAGCGAGGTCGTTGTAGGCCCCAAGGAAATCGGAGACCTTGTCCATCTGCATCATCGTCATCATCATCATCTCCATCTGACCTTCTGCTGCAGACTTTAAGGGGTCAATTTCCATACCTTAAAGAAAAGGAGTTGCCGCAGAGAGAAAAAGAAAGGAGAAAAAAACGAGAAATATTAACGGATAGACAGAGGGATGGGGAAGATAAAAAAGAAGAGAGTAGACTAAGAGTTTTATCAGAATTTGCAGTGAAGGAAATGAAGTAGATACAGCAGGGGTAAGAAGAAGAACAGTACTGAGAGATTTTTTTGAAAAAGAAAAAAAGAAAAAAAAAAAAGCAACAGGAATAAAATAGTGATATCGGGAACAGACCATTGCAATCTAGTGGGGTGACTATATATAACAACTCCTCCTTCAATATTTTATCACGTATAAATGCTTTTTACAATAATATAATATTTTTCTTTTCGCCCTTTTGTTATCAACAAAGCTGGTGAGCTTTTCTTTCCTTCTTTTTTTTTTTTTTTCCTTCACGTGAATTTATAATATATAGATAATATTTACGTTTGGTTGTTGGTATTTCTATTTGATTATAATAAAAATTAATGGTAAGTATACAGATTTAATAAAATTTTAAAAAATAAAAATATTTTTTAGTTTTTTAATTTTAGAATAAATATCTTCAATTATTGAAAGTGAAACGTTTTTTTTTTTTAAATAAAAGTCAAAAACTCGTATATTATATTATGATGATTGGTTAGCTTAGGTACATGGCTAGAAAGGCACAATATAGAAGTAAGATAATGAGTCGTTTTTTATATAATTTTAGTTTTTAGTAAAAACTGTGTTACCCTAAAATAAATTATTATTAAAAAAAATCTAATTGTAACACGACTCATTTATCTCCATCAAATCTACGATAATTTAAAAGTTTTTCAAGTTATGATAAGTTTTTTAACTTTCGGGATGGGTTCAAATCTCTTTATGTTGCTCGTAAAAACTTTAATTTACAATGTTTTAGCAAAACTGTAGTGTATAGTTATAAATTTGAAGATTTCAATCATTGGCAATTGTTGAAAATAAAATATTTTTTATTAAAAATAGTCAAAAACTCATATATTATATTACAATGATTGGTTAGCTTATGTACATGGCTAGAAAGGCATAATATAGAGCTAGGATATTGAGTCATTTTTTATATAATTCTAGAATTTAGTAAAAATTGTGTTGCCCTGTCATGGTAAGATAAGTTATTATTAAAGAAAATCTAATTGTAACACGACTCATTTGTCTCCATCAAATCTATAATAAGTTTAAAGTTTTTCAAGCTATGATGAGTTCATTAACTTTTGGGATGGGTTCAAATTTCTTTATATTGCTCGTGAAAACTCTGATTTACAATGTTTTAGCAAAACTGTAACGAAGAACTACAAATTTGAAGATTTCAATCATTGGCAATTGAAGATGAAAAAGATGAATGATGAAAGGAATGAGGTGGTGGCTGTAAATTAGATGGGGTGTATGATGTCTTAGGCTTTATGGTTTTTGTTATATATTTTTATATTTTTTAATATATGTATCAGATCGGATTCGAATAGGTTTTTTAAAATTTAAACTGAATCCTACTCATTCCAATTGAATAGATCAAAAAACATAATATAATTTAATTTAATTCAACTTGATTAAAATTTACAATAGTTGCTAATGAAAATGATAGTTTTAGTACATCATTAATATTTTTATAATCTCCATGAGTAATCATCATTTAATTATTTTCTCAATAAAAATTTTATCATATATATTCATAGGGAATTTTCTTTTTATAAACATATTTGTAATATTTTTTATTGAACATTGCTAGCATTCATCTACATGATTGTAGTTATATCTCATTTTTTTCATCATATACAATTTAATTATTTAAATAATGTGAATAATATTGTTTCTTGAAAATAAAAGTAACTTTTGTTATTAAAACTAATTTTTTAAAGTAAGAAATTTTATTGATATATTATATAGATTTTGTGAAAATTCATATGACAAAAAATGAGTTGCATTAAGCCACTTGAATGTCCATGGAGAACAAGGAGGAACGGAAAGGAGAAGCATTAGTGAAAAAAGTCATGCGTCTAAAGAACATAAACAACTAGGAATTCCACTTTCAAGTTATGATGCGCCTCCCTGTGCACTATGCACATGTGTTACATGCTAAAAAAATCCCCCTTAATATTTCGATCTAACTCTATCTCTTCAGTTTTGTTTAACTTATTATGATTCATATCTACTTAATTTTAAGTTTTCAATACTCACTAATGTCAGGATCATTAGAGGTTTAATTCAAATAATATTTGTGCAAAAAAGACTGTTTACAATATATCAAATTAATGCACACATATATATAACCATGATGTAAAATATGACCTAAAAGACTCCTATTAAAAGTGAGTAAACTCTATTAACATAAGAATTATCACTTTATAAAATCTAATAATTCATATTTATTATATTAAGAATAACTTTTATCAGTAACACTTATTAACAAATTCATTATAAATATTCTAAATTATTATAAGAATTATCTGATTATTTAATGTTAGAAGTGTATTGACTTTTCGCTCGTATATATAATAATTATTTTTATTAATCCCGAAAGATGAAATTTTATTATCATTAATCATCAAAATCATGTGTTTAGAAAAACAGGTAGAGATCGTATGTGCTTATATATTTTTAGAATTACGATTTTTCTATGGTAGGGATTTAATTATAAAGAAACAAAATATATATTTATTTTCTGAAAGCGATGAATTTAAATTAATGTGAACGAAATACATTAAGATTTCCAATTTGTTTTTGACAATAAATTTAAATTAAAAAATTTGTCGTGAGATATGCTTTCAAGTGGGCCAGCAAAACAGTTGATGAAGGGGTAAGAGGAGGTGCATGTACCAATTCACGTGCCAGGTGTCAGAAGCTCCGGGCCGTCAGATTAAGCGGGATCAATTTACGCTAACGTGGTGAAGCTGCATCCTAGCAAAACCCTCCCTAACGGGGAACGCTTTCCGAGATGGATCAGGTACTGAAGCAACCTGCTTCATGTGCTGGAATTTTGTTTTAACGAACTTTTTCATTTATCTTTTTATCACACAGTTATTTATTTCTCACTTCTTTTTTCTTTCTTTTTTTTTAAAAAAAAAAAATTATTTCTTACTTTTAAATCTTTAAATCTCAAAAAAAAATTTACCCCCCCCCCGGGGTAAATTTCTGATTCCACAACCATTCTTATGTATGTATGTATATATATATATATATATTCACTCTCTTGGTGTAGGTCACAAAAATTATTTGGGCCGATGCATGCATGGAAGACAACTCAAGATTCAACTTACGTACCCTTAATGTTACGGAGTAGTATATATTGTATATAATGATTATGTAGGTATATATATAGATGTAGCAACTAGGAATAATTAAACAGCTGGTTATTTGATTTGCTATTTACATTTTTTTACCGTGTCAGGGAGAACCCAGCAACAACTTAGTGCAATAATACCAAGAGACATTGCAGGTTACTGTCTGCTATCGTTTATATAGCCAGCTCCCGTATTTGTATACATTGATATCATTATAAATATTGTGTAAGTTTGGTATATAGTTAGCACGATTTTAAATATAATAAGATCCTAATTAGCCTGCATATGGGACCTATTCAGCACATACGACCATATTATAAAAGACATATATTTTAAGTTGATCGATATGTGTTAAAATA